ATATTTCATTATTGCTCGGATTTTTTTGTTCTGTCATATTTCGTTATTGCTCGGATTTTATGTTCCGTCATATTTCGTTATTGCTCGGATTTTATGTTCCGTCATATTTTGTTATTGCTCGGATTTTATGTTCCGTCATATTCGTTATTGCTCGGATTTTATGTTCCTTCATATTTCGTTATTGCTCAGATTTTATGTTCCGTCATATTTCGTTATTGCCCGGATTTTATGTTCCGTCATATTTCGTTATTGCTCGGATTTTATGTTCCGTATATTTCGTTATTGCTCGGATTTGATTCCGTCATATCTCGTTATTGCTCGGATTTTATGTTCCGTCATATTTCGTTATTGCTCGGATTTTATGTTCCGTCATATTCGTTATTGCTCGGATTTTATGTTCCGTTATATTTCGTTATTGCTCGGATTTTATGTGCCGTCATATTTCGTTATTGCTTGGATTTTTTGTGCCGTCATATTTCGTTATTGCCCGGATTTTATGTTCGACATATTCGTTATTGCTCGGATTTTATGTGCCGTCATATTTCGTTATTGCCCGATTATATGTTCCGTCATATTTCGTTATTGCTCGATTATATGTTCCGTCATATTTCGTTATTGCTCGGATTTTATGTTCTGTAATTTTCGTTATTGCCCGGATTTTATGTGCCGTCATATTTCGTTATTGCTCGGATTTTATGTGCCGTCATATTTCGTTATTGCTAGGATTTTATGTTCCGTCATATTTCGTTATGCTCGATTTTATGTTCCGTTATATTTCGTTATTGTCCAGATTTTATGTTCGTCATATTTCGTTATTGCTCGGATTTGATGTTCCGTCATATTTCGTTATTGCTCGGATTTTATGTTCCGTTATATTTCGTTATTGCCCGGATTTTATGTTTCGTCATATTTTGTTATTGCCCGGATTTTTATGTTCCGTCATATTTCGTTATTGTTCGGATTATATATTCCGTCATATTTCGTTATTGCTCGGATTTTATATTCCGTCATATATCGTTATTGCCGGATTTTATATTCCGTCATATTTCGTTATTTGCTCGGATTTTATGTTTCGTCATATTTCGTTATTGCTCGATTTTATATTCCGTCATATTTCGTTATTGCTCGGATTTTATATTCCGTCATATTTCGTTATTGCCCGGATTTTATGTTTCGTCATATTTCGTTATTGCTCGGATTTTTTGTTTCGTCATATTTCGTTATTGCTCGGATATTATGTTCCGTCATATTTCGTTATTGCTCGGATTTAATGTTCCGTCATATTTCTTTATTGCTCGGATTTTATTTTCCGTCATACTTCGTAATTGCTCGGATTTTATGTTCCGTCATATTACGTTATTGCTCGGATTTGATATTCCGTCATATTTCGTTATTGCTTGGATTTTATGTTCCGTCATATTTCGTTATTGCCCGGATTTTATGTTCCGTCATATTTCGTTATTGCTCGGATTTTATATTCCGTCATATTTCGTTATTGCTCGGATTTTATGTTCCGTCATATTTCGTTATTGCTCGGATTTTATGTTCCGTATATTTCGTTATTGCTCGGATTTTATGTTCCGTCATATTTTGTTATTGCCCGGATTTTATGTTCAGTCATATTTCGTTATTGCTCGGATTTTATGTTCCGTCATATTTCGTTATTGCTCGGATTATATGTTCCGTCATATTTCGTTATTGCTCGGATTTTATATTCCGTCACATTTCGTTATTGCTCGGATTTTATGTTCCGTCATATTTCGTTATTGCTCGGATTTTATGTTCCGTCATATTTCGTTATTGCTCGGATTTTATGTTCCGTCATATTTCGTTATTGCTCGGATTTTATGTTCCGCTATATTTCGTTATTGCCCGGATTTAATGTTCCGCTATATTTCGTTATTGTTCGGATTTTATATTCCGTCATATTTCGTTATTGCTCGGATTTTATATTCCGTCATATTTCGTTATTGCCCGGATTTTATGTTTTGTCATATTTCGTTATTGCCCGGATTTTATGTATAATTGTAACCATTGGTGAACGACAACTTTAAATAGGCGACGAATTATCTTTCCCTTTTTCTGTAAATTCGTATTTTAAAGGTCAATTATACCGTATAGGTGGTTTTTTCTGCGGTGACTTTATTTCTGCGTTTTCTGCGGTCAGTTTTATGACCGCAGAAATAAAAACCGCAGAATATTTCACTCACCTGCTACGATATGTGTCCTGCATTATGACCTGTTTCGTCTACAGTAATAACGACTAACGTATTATAACGGTAAGGGGGTTTTCAAATTGTATTAATTTGCTGTAGGCTTATTATGTAATCTGTGTTTTTAAAGGACGTACTAATTGTTAATGATGCTAATTTAAGAATATAGCTATTTCAAACCATTTCAACCCTTATACTGCTAAATAATCGTCGTCTACTATAATTGTCATCTGATTTACGGTCAACTGCTATTAACTTTTTAATTATACAATTAAAGATACAACAGGGTTATATTTTTCACACGTCATTTCACGATGATCAAAAGCTGCATACCTTTCTATTGTTGCGCATTATATTTGTTTGCAAGCAAACAGTACATTTGTTTGTAATTACTTTATTGTTTTGCGGTGACGAAGCTAAACAAATGTGTTCGTGCGAAAAAATAGGTTGAGAAATGTGACTTAGATTTTGATAAGACAAGTCGCAGAATTTAAATCACGTTTTGTCCAAAGAATGTGCCGCAGAAATAAAGTCCGCAGAAATAAAAACATGCCAAAATTTGGAAAAACCGCAGAATTTGGAGCCCGCAGAAAAAACCACTTATACGGTATGTCCAAGAAATACTTTTTCTTTCTCAAAAGCATTTAATTTTTGTGTGTTTTTATAGTTTCCAAAAAATTACTCACTTGCCAATTATCAGAACAATTTTCCTGCCAACTAGTACAGTTATAGTGAATTACATTTGTATTACTTTGGATGGAAGTCAAAATACTATTATGTTTACATTTTGCTACTTTTATGACAAATGATACCACATTTAACTACTTTCTTCAGGTTACACGCATCTGGCATCACTTGACCAAAAATTAAAGTGCTAAAAAGTTCGTGTTTGCCCCTTCTGAGCCATAATGTGCCTTTAACATTCTGATTAAAAACCGGTTATGTCAATTGAATGACTAATAAGCATACCGTATTTCTTTTTTTTTTTAAATGTCAGTGCAAATAAACCAAAACATTTAATTAAAGTCATACCGCGTTCACCGACTGATTGATTATTATTGATGATAGAACTATTTCTTGCTTTGTAATTATAATAAATGAATAATGTTTGTTTTGAAATATACAGCAATTATCATATGCATCTTAAATTATGCATGTTCAAAACAATATAACCACCACATTTAGTTCAATAAATTTCGCTTAAATTATTTTACAGTCACTGTGTCTATAATGTGCCACACATCCTGTTTATGTTGGTGCAAGATATTGCCTGGTTAACTTATGGTTTAAGATACGTAACGCTCCTCCGTGATTTTTTAAGCGGATGAAATCTAATTAATATTCATAACCCAGCAAACATGCATATATGGGACCCATATGGGCTATATCTAGGCAAGCCCATATGGGTATGCCCATATTGGACCTATATGGGACCAATATGGGCAAGTCCATTTGGGTACGCCCCATATTGGTACCCATATTGGGTCCCATATTACAGCACTATAAGGAAAAAAACGATTTTTCGTTTATTTATTTCTTTAGAACTTGTTTACTTTGAGCTATAATGTGACCACTTGGCATAAATTGCTATTATCTTTTATAAAAATCGTAGCATTAACATATATACAAGCCATGAGGGACCCATATGGGTCCCATTCGGGCAACCCAATAAATATTAGCATGCCTGAGCAGGTGCGAGAAATTAATTTGTTTAGTTTTTATATTGGTTTTAATTTTTATAATCTAAATATAAAAATGTGTTTTTAGACTATTAATTCAGAAATAATTTATAAAAATCAGCATTTGATGAAAAATTTATTTTGAGCATGCGCAGACGTGATTTCCGCTGCCGCTTAAAATCAAATTGTGTATTGAAACGTTAAATTGTAAAATTGTACACGAAAACAATATTTCATTTCAATTCGGAACATTTAACGACGATTTCGTATAATGACCTTTCATATTATATCCTTACAGATTTATGGTGTGTGTAGGTAAGTGTAAACGTCATTTATTTTTTGTTTAGGCACTTTAGCTGACCTATGGATGTGTATAGTTGTTATTGTTGAATAACTTAACTGTGACGGAGTCGACACTAACATTTTAATAATATTGTTTCTATCTAGACTAAATTTTAAGAGATCCTTTTTTAAAGGGACACCACCATTTGAAATCCAGTGACCCCTCCTAGCCTTAGAAGTCCCTTCCATTTTGTACCAATATTTCATTCATAAGCATTTTAAAATATTAAATGCAAATACTTATTATTACAAATTCAAGTATTTTTTCCAAGTACCAACCAAGCCCGATGTTGCACAGGCACGAGTATCGGACCTGGGAAGAGAAAATATGACCCGAAAGATAATTAAACCTGTGTTCATCTTTAAAAGGTCAAAAACCGAAAAAAAATGTAAATTATACCCCCCTTTAAAAACATACTTTAAGTTAAGAGAAGGCCAGAAACTCCAGATTCGAGCCTGCAAGCAAGGGATTCACTTCCCGGGCCGTTGTGAAAACAATTGTCCAGACAATTAAAAAAATCTTTTATCACTTTCACGTTTGTATTAAGCTTCCAAATGGGACCAAGTCTTTAGCCCTTCCCGTTCATGAAATATCTATCGGGGAAACAAACGCATTCGTGCTAAAAATCCTTGGTAGACAAAATTGCGGCACAACAATTCGGTACGTAAACATAGACTAGTACATGTTTGCCAGCCGATTACGGGTCATAATCATATTGTCACTTGGCGCAATAACTCACTTAATGTATATGTATTTTATAAAAGCTGTATGAATCGGATAGTGGCACTGATGAGAATGAGACAGACACAGAGAGTAGGCCACCACAAGTTATTGACCAAGCAACAACGCCCAAAGAGTCACAAAGCCTACTTTCATCTCCGCCTCGCTTATCTGCATAGGCATTGCGTGAGGCCAGCAGTGATGTGCAAAGTGCTTCTCCAATACAAGGTGCTTCTGATACACCCTTCCGTGGGCAGATTATTGGGCCCAGTAAGTATAAACTTCGGAGCTATAAATATATTTATTATTACAGTACATACTTATTAAATGTTATATTCTCAAAACAAGTCAATAAATGTTATAACAAGCTAGATTGAGTGACACAGCCAAAAATGGAAAGTTTCACCTTGTGACGCCCCTAGTTCAAAAAATTTTCAAAAGAAATTGATGATTACTTGTGTTAGTCTTTATCATGATGTGAATTTGTGCGCATATTCTTGCCTGACCCCACTACTGTTATCCAAAGTTATGGTCCCTGGAAGAGTCAAGAATGTTTATTTTCACCAAATGACATGCCTAGGCTCAAAAATATGTTAAGTTTAATTCATGATTTCTTATCATTTTCACATTTTGTGACCTTGCACACTCAACAATCCTTTTGAGATTTTAGCGTTAATTATTACTGTTAAAGCCAAGGAAAAATTTAAAATACTGGATTTTTTTCATTTGAGCCGGGTCATGACAAAACCAACATAATGGGTTTGAGACCAGCATGGATCCAGACCACACTTAGCTCTAAAAGTATATGGCCTAGTATTATGAATCCTTTTTTTCAGCTGCTGTTACACAGATTCTCCGAGTCTTGGAGACAATGCGAGAGAAGAATCGTGATATTAAGAGGATGGTGCAGCGAATGCTGTTAAGGTCAGCAGCAGATGACCAACCGCTGCAACTTCCGAAAGATATCTCATTCCCTTTTCGTTATCCTGAGCTGATGGAAGCATTCGATAAGCTTCTGGGAGATCAGACAATGCTCTCATCTGTGGTAAGCATAGTGTTAGTCATGTATGTTGCTCCATTAGTAACTGAAAAAAGTATACCCCATATCCATTGGCCTAAAAGTGAAATAACATAATGGTCTGTGGTGAGCACTTGATGATAATGTATAATCATTCTGCTATATTTATGTTGGAAAATATTGCACAGTGAACAAACACTTTGCTGCATTAATTTCAGAATTAAAAACTGGCATGTTTTAATTTTTTGATTCATATTGACACAGTTATGTTATTTATATATGCTATAATAGCCATGAGCACAAGACATGGGCAGTTGGCCTCGTTTTTCAACATTAATTATTAATTAGGACAAGACAGTCAATTCATTAATCAAAATGCTTGCAGCTTTCAAAAATACCAGGAAAATGACTAGTACCACAAAATCCAGGAATTGAGCTGTTATTATATTATCAAAAATTATTCTGTTGATATTGAATAAACTCTTGTATAAAAAAAAAACAATGATAATGTGCCCCATAACACTCGGTGGAGGGGACAAACATAAAGGCACAAGTCACTAAGGTGTTGTCCTAGGCTGTAAATATATGAGGAAAGATCTTTTAATTTGTCAATCCAAACAGTTTTCTGGCAGATTATGTTTTTGAGGTCCAGTTGACAATTATTTGTCATTTGGTGACTTGCAGCCCATCACTTAGTAGTGTTAAAATTAACATTAAAAAAAGTTTATGTTCTGCTTTATTTAAGGTGCGGTTCCTCTCAATGTTTGGTATGGCAGATGTACGGGAAACTGTTGACCGCTTGATGAAAAAAACCATGTCAAATGAACTGGCAAGAATGTACAATATGAAGTGGCTGAAGGGGAAGAAAAAGGTTTGTGGGCCTCTAGATACTGAATGTATTGTATAGTAAGTGATATTTTACAAATTTGCAAAGTGGTGTCTTCAAAATAGATATATTATCCAAGATCTTGTTATTGTGTCTTCGGGTATTGCTTTAATGAAGGAAAATGCTTGACTAGCTTTTATGGAAATTAATAAGAGAGAATATTTTACATGCTGTGTGGTTTTTTGATCCCATGCATTGTGTTGTGATGCATAATATAAACAGAAATCACCTTCCTGTAAAGCAAGTTATTTGCTTACCTTTAACATTCTTTACTGATACACCGATAAGATTGATGATCTCAGCTTACAACTGACTGCAGCGATATATCACAGAAATATTGTTAAAAGCTATGTAAAACCAGGAAACAAACATCTATATTTGGTAAAACATACCAGAATTAGTTTATATTCCAATTTATACTGCTCAAAATGCTACAAGGTGGCTTATGACCTTTGAATGGTTTCAATACCTTCATTTCACTTCATTTCATTCTTTAAGGATAAGAATGCTTGTTTTGTAGAATGTGTCCAAAGTAACTTGCCGACAAAGGCTGCAACGAGGAAGGATGTTGAAATAGAGGTTTCAAAGTGGCTGGCTGGGGCGCGGGACCGCGATGGGGGAAGGAAAGCAAGAAACAAAGTGTCAGAGACCTTACCTGAAGAAAATGAAGGAAGTGACTAGACATGTTTTTAATTTAAAAATGCAATTTATAGAGGATATTTGTTTGTTTGTGTGTAAGATGAAATTTTATATCATCAAGAGAGCTTTAAAAAACAGTATTCTCATGAGTGGCTATGCGCTCGTGAGAACACTGTTTTTTTAAAGTTCCTTCAATGATATAAAATTACATCTTACACAACAAACAATAAAGTGTCTTTTTATTTTATGCTAATGAAATTTCCTCAATATTAACGTTAATATTAAATCTGTTTTCCCCACTGTTAACATCAATTTTAGTTGAATTTAAGTCCAATTTCTCATAAATACAGGAAGTCTTGGGCTGAAAAATAAGTTTGACAATCAACGTTGAATAGCCATGATATTATTTATTGAATTCAAAAAATTTGAATGATGATAAAATCTTTAAAAAGTAGTCTCGTCATAGAAAAGTTTGAAATTTTAATCATTTCACTGTGAAATTATCAAATATATTTTTCACGGATACATCAGTAATACAATCAAAAGCATAAAATAAATGACTTTTATTTTACATTTTCAAACCTTTACTTCATCTGCATATAAGTTATTCCACTGGTTGAAAGTCAATATGTATCAAGGTATTTTTAAAATGTGATAAGGGTCAGAACTACAGTAAGCGGCTCATTTGTTTATCTTGTTATACTTTTTGTTGCTAATTTTAATGTTTGAGGTCATCAGCATAGCATGTCTTTCTTGTAAATGCAAAATTCTTGGATAGTCAAATTTTGCCTTCTAGTCAGTATATTCTGCTGCTATGTTATGTTTGTTGTTGACATTATATGCTGTTTTTCTGTTGTCTATATGCTGTTGTTTTTTTCCATTAAACAATGTTACTGCACGGAGGAAGGTAGTCTAGTACTGGTGTAACTCTCCAGAAACGATGGTTAGGAAACTACCCGCCTATATGACGTAAAAGGCGTAAAATGAAACAAACAAACAAAAAACATTGTTACTATTTAAATCAAGACATTAAATGCTTGGGGAATGTTTTTGATACTGATCAATACAATTATAACATCTTGTCAAAACTTGACACTAACAGGGAACACATGTATTGATATGGTATTAACCTTTAAAATAAAGTTGAAATGCTTTACAATGATGATTCTTGTAATCTTTATTTTTGTTATTGTTGAAACTTTGATAATATCGGAGAAATTACTGAAACCAACTATTTTTACTGACAATTTTTTTAATGAATTTCTTCACAACAAATTTGATCTAAAATATCACATTTTAATTATTATTGATTTTTACAAACTTGTACAAACTATTTTTTACTTTTAATCAGCTGCATATTTTGTTTACATGTCTATAAACAGTATTTTAATGTGCCAAGATTTTGTGTATTATATTTGTTACTTTTCATTAGCTGCATATTTTGTTTACACGTCTATTAACAGAATTACAACAGTGCCAACCTTTTGTGTATTATATTTGTTACTTTTCATTAGCTGCATATTTTGTCCACACGTCTATAAACAGTATTACAACGGTGCCAAGGTTTTGTTAATTATATTAATTTTTTTTCATCAGCTGCATAATATTTTGTTTACACATCTATGAACAGTATTACAACCGTGCCAAGGTTTTGTTAATTATATTAATTTTTTTTCATCAGCTGCATAATATTTTGTTTACACATCTATGAACAGTATTACAACTGTGCCAAGGTTTTGTTTTATATATTTGTTACTTTTCACGAGCTGCATAACATTTTTTTCTTCAGCACTACCATACCAAAGTGTAATACATGGTTGTAATGAACAACTTTTTATATTAATTGATGTAGATCTATATCATTTGAAAATGAAAGTAATTGGAAGATAGAAATTTGTAATGAATTACAGTAAATGTATAATACTTTTTCTATGCATTATGTAGAAAGTTAAAAAGACATTTGGGGTCATACTGTTGATTCACTGAAATTTAAACATTATACACATATATTTCTTGGAGTTCCAAAGACCTTCTGTAAAGTTTTACCAGTGTCTAGCATAAGTTTCATTTTTCCTTATAGTGATCTGTAAGGTATCTAATGTTATAAAACTGCATTTTTAATTATTTTGTTCGTACATTATAAACAGTTTTCCATTACATGTTGCTTATTTAGTGTACCAAAGTTGACATCAGGCGTACAGAATGTATTGAGAATCCGTATATATATGATATACACTTACCATAAGTGAGATTACTAAATAAAGTTACATTGTTAAAGCATATACATTGTGTATTGTTTTCTTGCATGATCATAAAGGCTTTGTGCCATAATCTGTCTGTTCCAGGAAACAGAATGAGTTAAAACATCACTTGAATATTTAACGCAAGTACAAGAATCATGCTCTGTAGCAAGCGGTTGCTATCTTAACGTCCAGCAAACTTATAATTGAAATAATTGAAAATAGATCTACCCCGGAATTCAAAATCTACCCATAATGGAAGTATCTGGGCTGCCCATTTGAAACCCATATTTAGTACAAGGGCTGCCCATGTGGGGCCCATATTGTGTACATGGGCTGCCCAGATGGGGCCCATGTGAATCCCATATTGAGTATAAGGGCTGCCCAGATGGGACCATTTGGAACCCGGTTGCACTTCCTATATGGGGCCCATATGGGCAGCCCAAATGGGACCCATATAGGTGCCTATATGGGCCCCACATTGGTCCCATATAGAATGCTATCTGGGAACTTCCGTGTTGTAACTGCGTATATGTACGTCTCATTTGCCGAACACGTGTTTCGATCCGAATAAAAGACCTAAGTAGATCTGCAACATAGACCTATGAAATGCTTCATTTAGATTTTTGTGACATGCTCTTTAGAACACCTGCCTTTAACAACCGATATCTACATGTACATTCCATTGACATAGCCCTCAAATCTTTGCTGAACTATATACATGTATATTTATATCACTTTATCCTTTCATTGCTGCTGTCACGTGGTTAAAAAGGTAAGAAAAAAGTAATACCGAATGCGATATGTCAATTAAAATAGCTCAAATTGAATTTGCGAGGTCAATACAAGTTCAATCCTAATAAGAAAAGGGTATTTAGTGCTACATCATAACAGTTAAAGTGGATTCGTTGAAAATCGGATTGATCTAAATAGCATTACGCCCATTTGAGTATAAGAGTGAAAGGCCAAATAACTAGTAATTTCACAACAATTTTCTGCGTTTTAAATTACCTGCGCATATATAATATATAACCAACGTCGCCCATGGAAATTTGCGGAAAGTATTGGTAATGTTTTTTTTTTGTTTTTTATTTAAATGGGGCAGTTATTTTAAAAGACATTTTATATTTGTTAGTTTCAATTACAGGCCAATCACCAGTTATCAGTGACAATATTTTTTTGGTTGTTGTATAATTACATAGTTAATTATGCTCAACTCGGAGCAAGATGTGAGCATTACTTTTAAAAACGAGAACATTAAAGGATTTTTAAAATGCCATGCATTATAACAACATTGCAATAAAAGAAATAAACTAAATTATAACAATATAACAATTAAAGAACTGCATTTTTCAATATTACAATAAAAAAAACTGCGCGATACGAATAAATAAAAAAATGTTTGAAAAATAAATTAATGAAAGAAAAAAAAAAAAAAGATTTAGAATGAACAAGCAGTTCATTTAATACTAATTAATCACGAAATCTATACAACCTTGATAAACATTGTATTAAGTATATCGGAAAACTAGTTTTAAGTATCAATCTTTCTTTGTAAGCATTAGGTATATACGTATTAAAAATACAAAAAAAAAAGAAGAAAAAAAGAACCTGTTTTTCAACTGAGATGTTTAAATGTACCTGTAAGAAAAACAAAGCGCCGGTGTCATTATTTATCATGTCATGATAATAAGCTTAAAGGCCCATTTAGCCTTTATAATAATGCTATAAATTTATTTTTTCCAAAAAAAAAAAAAAAAAAAAAAAAAAATTGGTTTCCTGTTATTTTTTCCAAAAAGTTACTAAGCTGAACCATCTTGGCAATTAATGCAGTTATAGCGATTTAGCATTTTATATGAAAGTCAAAATACCATTTTGTTTACACTTTGCTTCATTCATCACGAATTATTTCGCATTATTTCACATTCAATGATATTTTCTTCAGGTGATTAACAACTCACATGTTTTTAATCAAATTTAACATCATTATTCAACACACATTTGTCATTTCTGAAGAAGGAAGATATGATTCATTGCTTGGTCATAGTGGGCCTTTAAAAACAAATGAAAATACTTACATAAAATGCACATTCCCATTATTACGAGGAAGAACTGATTAAGATTAGTGTCCAGTTGAAGCATTCTATCCAAATCTATTTCACTCATGTTGACACTCATTATTTAAAAATATAAAGTAAACCCTAATCAAGAAACTTGCGTCTATAATTTTGTGGAATTATTTTCCCGTGTCCCTTATTTTAGACATCAATGATTTCCAGCTCAAA